CAGATTATTCAAGAGAACACACAGGCTTTGTTACAGTGAGTGGAGTCTTTGTTGAGTGCGCTACACAGTGTTTGCTCCAGCTGCTACTCAGACTCCTCTCACAGTACTCCTGATCCATGGCCTGGAGCTGCATAGTTAGTTCCTTGTTGTACAAAGGTGAGGTGTTTGACACAGCACTCCCTGTTGGATGAGAAGACTCTCATAAGACAAGAAAACAGCTGCACATGGGCTCCTATACAAATGTAAATCTAACTAAGAATATTTGCACAGTCTTTAGCGCTAATGAATGTGTTCCCTGGCAGAAGTTAGTATTTGTGAAAATTCTGTAAGATCACAGCTGCCAATTATGTGAGGAGGGGAGAAAGGCATCTTTCAGAACTGTAATACAAAACAGTTTTTGACATTCTCTCTCTATATATTTACATTCCCCGAAAACTCTTCTTCTTCCGTTCATACGTCTGTTCTTTCTGCCACGCTGCTCCTATTGCCGTAAGCTGACATTTCCCAGACTTTGTTAGCTATCGCAGGTCTTCAGTGCCAAGCAAAACTTTATGATGAAATCCTAATCAAGAGATAGGCAGTAATGCAATGTGAATTCAGTGGAACTCCCAGCAACTGGTTTCTTCCTTTAGTAACAGTCTGATGCCTGGGATTTACTGTAATTTTCATGGATGTTTGATGTTTCTGTCTCCTTTTCTTTGTTATAGGTATTACTTCAAAGTCCAAGCGAAGAATCTTTATGGCTATGGACCAATAAGTTCATCAGTCTCCTTTGTTACAGAATCTGGTATGATGGCATAAAATTACATTTTTCACTTGAAACGGGTTCCTTAATGGTAGAAGTCAAATCTGGTGCAAGTGCAAAATAACAGTTGTACATTTTCTACTGCCATGATTTCACAATCATTACTACACGTCAGATCATGAGAGGGAGGGCAGCAAGGGTTGCATCAGTGCTTAGTTTTCATGGCCCTTTCTTACACACCCAGGGAAATGCTGATTACCACTTTGGGGTCAGGAAGCAATTTTTCTCTAGGCTAGTTTGGCTGGAGATCCTGGGTTGTTGTTTTTTTATCTTCTGGGCATGCAGCAGTGGTCACTGGGGGTCTGGGGAGGAGGTATTTGTGAATTTCCTGCATTTGCAGGGGGTTGGACTAGATGGAGGTACCTATAAACTCTATGATTCTATGATTTGATTCCATACAGTTCGCTGTACCCTAGCTGAGCTCTTTCTTACAAACCTCCATGAACTTCAGTTAGGGCTGCCAAGTGGGGGCGGGGGCGGGTAAACCCCCACTTTGGAGGCCCGATTTCCGCCGCTGCGGAATCAGGCCCCGGGGGGAACTCCGCCCCCCGAAGTGCAGCATGGCTGCATCACCAGAGGTGACGCAACCACGTCAACCACGTTGGAAGCGTGGCCCAGATCATCAGAGGGAAAACTCTATGGTTTTCCCTCTGACAATCCGGGCCATGCCCCCAACATGATCGACGTCGTGCGTCATGTCCGGCGCGCGCGCATCCGAGGACGGCTCCCGGAGCCCAGCGAGGCTCCCCCGCCGGTGAGTTTTTTTGACTTGGCAACCCTAACTTCAGTGGGTCCAGAGCTATAAATAATTATATTTGTCTGGAACCAGGGCCAAGTAATCTTTCAGTGACTTTTCTAGTATTCTTAGATTTGTCATCTTATATTCACCTGAAGCCACAGGGTAGGTTGTTACAGTCAAAATCCAGAAATATATTATTAAAAGTACATAATTATGAAACTCTATGTTAAAAAAAGCCTAGAGTTCATCTAATGACTAAGGAAATCAAGACAGGGGAGAATAAGGCTGTTTTTCAGGAGTGGGAAATACTTAAAGAGCAAGTTAGGACAAGTCCATGAATAAGGGAAAGGAGGAAGCCTGCAGCTTTTATTAATGTAGTCTTAGATCAAAATATGGCACAAGGTGTGATTCATGGAGACAAAATTGCCAGCAGAATTGCAGTTCAGATCAGTAAACCAAGTTTTGCAGCAAAACTAGAAGAGAAAAGCTAGACACTGGCTTTGGATTCATGCCACAGAATCAGAGCCAGACTCTGTGTGGACTATAGCTGAGTTCATACATCTGGTGACTCCAGTGAGGCCAGCTCTGAGAGCACACTGGGCTGTTGCTGGGCTCTCAAGGAAACAGCCCTATATGAACGACTGCCTCCATGTGGGAACAGTACCTACAGTGCCGTGGTCTGTATAATTGTGGAGCCCTCCGGTTCCCTTTTTGCAGCCATGCCAATTATGTAGCTGTCGTTTGTGCAGCTCACATGCGAAGATGCTGTTCTTTGTACAAGATATGCATCTGCCTGAGCACTTCCCTCTGTGAGACCAGCAATGACCTGAGTACTCTGGGAGATTGTCATGTGAGAGCTGCTAAATGTTACCAACTAGACTAGAAGATCCGGGCAAGAACTGGAATAGAGCCAGGCACATCTGATACAAAGGTGCTAGACAGGTGATGGTGCAGAATTCAGGAACAAAGTAATTCCAGAAGCAATATAATTTTCCAGGCACCAAAGTTTTCTGGCAGGGCAGAAAGGCCGGTACTTGAACCAGGTGGCAGCTATTCACAGGTTCTCAGGTAGCAGCCAGACAAATGTTTTAACAACACATGTTTGGAAAAATACACTGGAGTTACTGGTAGTTTGTTGCATAATCAGTGGGTTAAACACTTACCTAGCAAAAACAGGATGACCTCCCAGGGCTCGCAACTACCTCAAGCTAAAAACAGGAATCAGCAAGTAATGTATCTTCTGCAACATCTAAAACAGCAAGCCAAGTTTTAACAATTGTTGCTGAATGGCTAAACTGCTTTCAAAGTGGTCTTTACTGTCCTGATAATAGAAGTATAGAAGGTTAAATTCAGAAAAAAGAAAGAGTAAGTTGCATTTGTTTTTGCTAGATTGGCAAAGCATTTGAAAGTTACTTAATTAATTGTGAACAGTTGGAAATAATTGTCACTTGGAGAAACTTGGGAAAACTTTTTCCACTTCAGTCCCCCCCCCTCTTTTGAAGCTTGTTTCTGACACTTATTTTGGAGGATAAGAACTCGAAAAGGTTGAGATTTTTTTTTTTAAGCATGGCTTGTTAAATTCTTATTTTTCCATCTTATTTTTGCTTTTTCATTTGGCACTTTTAAATTACAAACTACATTCTTTCCTAAACTAACTCAGGATGCTTACTGGCTTCTCTTGCCATAGTAGCACAACACTTTTTAAAATCCCCTCCCCACCCCAGGTTATAATTTGATTCTAGGCTTCCTGCCTTAGAATTCAGGCATACTTTTATCCCTCAAAAATATGTTTTTGAAAGTAAAAGTTTCAAATGCAAGTAAACAGCCCTTGTAATGGGCAAATGTGTTACAGAGGAGTATTTTTCTTTTCAAAAACATCATATGGACATATGAAACCTTCCCGAATTATTTCCATAAATGTCTTGGCCTCTCTGAAAAGCTACATGCCATGTTCAGGACAGTTGTCCATAAAAATACGACAGGATTTTCCAAATTTTTATTTTGGCTGTCACTGTTCCTCATTCAACTTAGTTGTTTCATATGCACAGGGCTATTTCTGATTATAATTTTTCCATATGACTTGCTTGTCATCACTGTACTGAGCTATTGCTTAGTATCATTCCCTGTTCAAATAGCTGGCATGCTTCCTGCTATACTTGTTGTGGGGCTAGACCATCGTCTTTTCCCATTCAAACAGCAGACTGGCTTGGTCTTTTATATGATCTCAAGCTATCTCTCCTTATATATAAAAATGTTTTGGTGTGATTCCTGGACACGCTTCCACAGCCTTTCGCCCGCTCAGCTGCCCATCTTGCGAACTCCCAACCCCCTGGCTGCATTGCCTTGCTGTGTTGGCTCGGCCCTGCCCACTGAGCTGGCAGCCAGCGTTTTGCTCTCAGTCTGGAGGGAGCCGGCGAAGGGGATAGATGCTCTGCTGAGGGAGCAGCGACCCCTCCACGGGGGAGAAGGAGGCAGACCTAGCAAGCAGCAGCAAGCAGGAGAAGCACTCACCTTCACTGCCCCTCGCGGCCCCTTTCCCTTGGCCGCAAGGCCAGCACTTTATCAGGGCGATAGCTCAGTGGCTGCACCTCAGAGAAGGCTGCCCAGTGCCTTTAAACGGCTCCCCCACCTTCCTTCAGCAGCAGCGGCAGCGCCAGGGAGGGTCTGGCCTGGAGGAAATGAGCTGCGGCTCCTGGAAAGCCGGGCTCTCTCTTGGCTCCTGTGTGGGCCTAACTGTGACTCACTGTCCCCTCAATGGCTCTTGGTAGGCAACCAACTTCTGTCATTAAAAAAAAAAAGGACTTTCAGCCCCCTCCCCACCCACTGTACTTTCTCCTCAGTGCCTGTTGCTAGGCAACCAGGTTCTGTCAGTAAAAGACCCTATCCACATCTGTTTTTGCCTTTGGGAGAAAACTCATTGGAGCCAGTCCTGATAGGGTTGCCAAATCCAGGTGGGAAATTCCTGGATATTTGAGGGATGGAGAGGGTAAGATTTGAGGAGGGGTGGGACCTCAGACAGGTGCAATGCCATAGACTCCACCCTCCAAGCCAGCCATCCCTCATGGGGAACCATTGCTGCCAATCTCCAGGTGGGGGCTGGAGAACACTCAGAATTACACCTGCTCTCTAGGAGGGACGGGGAGGAGATGGAAAGCTGAAGCCAGGGGGCAAATAATGGTAGGTTGACGGTTGGCTGGGAGAGATATAGGGTTGCCAACTCCAGGTGGGAAATTCCTGGAGATTTGAGGGGTGGAGCCTGGAGAGGGTGAGGTTTGAGGAGCAGTGGGATCTCAGACAGGTGTGATGCCATAGACTCCACCCTCCAAGCCAGCCATTCCCTCATGGGGAACCATTCTTGCCAGTCTCCAGCAGAGGGATGGAGATCACGCAGAATTACAACTGCTTTTCAGATGGCAGAGATCAGTTCCCCAGGAGAAAATGGTGGACTCTCTGTCATTATACCCTGCTGAGATCGCCACAGCAAATTGACGCTGAGTGCCCAAGGCCGAGGCACTCCCCCAGAGCCTCTTCCTAGAGCGCGTTGTATTTATTTCCACAACGAGCCTTATGCCTAGTTAATCAATAAATCGGAATTTTGTGCACCTCCCCGATTCTGTGCAATCAGCTTAATTGTGGGGAAAGCCGCTGTTCTTTTCACTTTTATTTTAATGGATCCACTGAATTATTTAAGAAACTTGTGGCTGTGCTGGGGAGGACCCCTTTCATAACTGTGGACATTAAATTTCACTTCCAGAAATAAAAGTCAAAGATGTTTGTTAGGCACTTAATACTTTTTTTTTAAAAAAGAGTAATATTAAATACTTTCTTGTAAGACAACAGAATATTGTGGATTGTCTGTGGTCTATTTTACTTGGAATCAAAAAATACGCTATCAGTCAACTTATTTATGTGCAAAATCTTGTTCATTTTGGCTACACGAGATATAAATCCTCAGAATAAACAATTCCGTCGCTTTCTTCTTCCCTTCTTACAGACAATCCCCTGCTTATTGTCAGACCACCAGGTAAGTTTCAGCTGTTCTCAGGTATTATTTTGTCTTGAAAATTGGTAAGCACAGGGTGGCTGCTGCGAACGGGAGGTGTGGCCTCGTGCTGGGGAGGCATGGGCCAGGCCAGCTTGTTTTAGCCAAGCACAGTTAAGTTCCTATGAGTTATGAAACTTGTATTTATTTCTCTTTGCCTGATAACCTTAACCCTATTACATTAGAGTGCTTGCTTTTTTGTACTTTTTGACCTTTTCTATTTTAAATGTAATCCATTTTTAAAAAAGGGTTTTCAAACCTTACTGGGAGTTTTCTTTATTCCTCAGGCTCAGTGGCAGAGCCGGACTGCTTCCTCTTACAATAAAAAGGGTCTCTGCTAAGGGAATCAAAGGGTGAAAGGAAGGGTAACTTCAGTCCCCTATTCAGTAATGCAAATCCTGCAAATCCAGGTTGGTGGCATTGTCAAACCCCATCCACCCAGTGGATAAGTGGGATGATGGGAAGGGAGCAGAAAATGTGTGGGCCAGGCAGTCAGCAGCCCAGAGAAGGGGCCCTGTGGCTGATTCCTCTCATTCCAGGGGCCCCTGCTGCTGTGGCAGGTGTTCAAAGCCAGTTTGACAGGTGCAGAACCACATGCTATCAGTAGCCTCTTTAGAACAGGGAAAGGTTCTTCTGGGGAGAAGAGGAGAGAGCCATGTGTGCCATCCTGAGCTTACTGGTTGGATACAAATGTATTATATATTAGATTCACCCTTTCCCTAACCACTGTCTTCCTGCTTGCAGTGGTCTTTCCTTCGTGTGTCTTTGGAATGTAAAGAAACCATTCCCACAAGGAAAACAAAGACCCTTAGAAATTATTTAGGAATAGAGAAGTGTCCAGCAGGAAAAGGATGTCCTTTCTCCCTTCCCCATCATTTCCGTTGAAAGTAACTTTTCCTCATCTAAATGGGCTGGTGGGACTATTTTGAGTGTAATGTGGAGCTTACACCTCAGTTTTGTAACACGAGGCCCAGGAATTCTAGCTAGGGCCCTATCTGAACTCAATATGTATGTACAGCATGGCCAAGAGTCTACTGCCGTCTGCTGGTGTTGGCATGGCTGAAATGCACAGCGTCCTTGGCACAGGAGTCAGAGGGATAAACTGGGAGTCAGCTCCTGATGGAGATATTTTGCTGTGTACCCAGGATTCCCTGAGGGAAGGAGATTTTAAAAACCACTCTTTTAAAAATGTTAATCTACCTGATATCTAATATGGCTATAAGAAGGACAGATTTTTCCAATTGTAAATGTGAAGCAAAATATTACGTTATACTATATTATGTTATGGCTTAAGATTATGATTTGGAATGTTCAAAATTGCCCAGTGTTTTCACATTTAATATTAAAAACTTTTCTAGTGCCAAATAATTCTCCTAAGCAAGCTTGGGTATATAATAAAAAGCATATGGGATGCTCCGCAGCAGCAACTGTTGCAAACTTTGCTTGATTTCAATGAGATTTCTTCAGGGATCTGCTGGCTGATGAATAGCAAGGCAATGTTGAGTGCTGTGATTCAAATGCATTGTATAGTTTTCTTTCCATGAACACTTCATTGTTTTATGTGCATAGAGAATATTCTAGCTGAAATGCTGGCAAAAATGGCACATGTGAGAAACTTCCCTAACAAAAGAAGCCCTATTAAGCTCAAATCATTTGTATAAAACTCATTTTCTGTAGAGTTAAATAGGACTATTCTTGCATGTTATTCATGATTTTTTGTGTTTACAGGATTATAGCATGCTTCTTTATAGGGACAAAGAATCTTTTACGAGGAAGGACAAAGCAACCCCGCCCCTTAAAAATGTGGTTCCCATGCTTTGCAACAGTTACCAGTCACATAAGAGACAGAACACACAGGGAAATGCTTTGAAAGAAATAAACAACTTTCACACATGCATTTTCCATCCAGCAGATTACCTTTCTCTTGCATGGATAAAATTACAAAGCAATTATAAAAACAAGGTAGACTTTATCATTTGATCTGTTTACAGCTTGAGTCTGCACTGGCTGTTTTTATAGCCCAACCCACACCTGTGTAAACTGAAATGATTAGATTTAAAAGTCTCTAGTGCCTATTGTCTGATCACAAAATCTGCTATGGGAAGAGGGACCTTGATGCTGGTATTGCTCTATCAAGAGTAAAAAGTTTAAAACCTATAGTGAACTAAATCCTTATTAAACAGTTATATGGCAGTGACCCTGTGTTGAGTGTACCGCCATGCCCTGAACATGATGATGATGATAAAAGGGCAAGGGAGTGTTAAGTTGAAATCAAGCACAAAATATCAGAGAATAATTCTCATTGCTCATTACACTGACTCCTCCCTGCCTGTACTTTTGACTGCTGTCTCATCCTCTGGCTGGGAAACAAAGTTCCCTACAGGTGGGGTGCCCAGGATGAAAGGAGGTTACACCACGTGCAGCTCAGCACCCACTGCAGGATGGAGGCGGACTCAGCAACTGAGGCAGGCTAATGAGCAGGGAGGTGCAAGAACGACATATTAAATATGAGCATTAGTTGGTAAACCTAAACACATTTACTTGAAAGAAAACTGTATTAAATGAACAGACTTTTAGGTAAATGCACTCAGGACCGAAGTAAATGTGCTCAGGATCCAGATGCTAAGTTTGATTTTAAAATACATTCTTACAATAGAACAACAGGTTCAGGTGTATTCTTTAATGTTACATTTCAGGTGGTGAACCGATCTGGATCCCATTCACCTTTAAGTATGATCCCACATACTCCGAATGCAGTGGCAAACAATATGTGAAACGGACGTGGTATCGGAAGTTTGTAGGTGTTGTCCTTTGTAACTCTTTGAGATACAAGATATACCTCAGTGATGACCTAAGAGGTTTGTATTTACAGTGCTGATACTAGAAGGATCAGTTCACTAAGATCTGCTATATTCTCATTTGCAGGATTTTTGTGTATGTAGAGAAACATTCGGTTATATGAGCTGCACTTGCATTCTACTATGATACAGCCTGAACATAGGTTTACTACCTTAATGAGAACTAGGCATGTGTAGTCACTGTTTAATTGTATCATCTACACAACTTTGAATGAAGTGAGCAGTGACTCACAAAAGCTCATACCTTGCCACATATTTTGTTAGTCTTTAAGGTGCTACTGGACTCTTGCTCTTATCTCCATAACAGTTTAAGTTCTTAAAAGCGAAATCTATTAATATACTTGAAAATTATATAGGCTTATGTTCACTAGAGGCCTGCTCACGAGTTGGCAACTTAATCTTATTAAAGGAAGTACTAGAGTAGAGTAAACATGTTTCTTAGATGAAAACAACTCAAAATAAAGAGCAGCCCACCAGAGAACAATAGATACAATATCAGGGTTCAATCCAATTTCATTTACTCCCCCCACCCCACATTCTTTTGATCTGTAAGGGGATGATAAAGTGCTGCCCTGTAGCAATTGCTCTGAATGCAGTGGTCAAGTCTTCAGCTCTGAAAGCCATGGCACACGGGAAAAAAAAGTCGGGCAAAAGTGCGGCTTTTAAAAGCCACACCAAAATAGGCATACGGCGGCGGGATCATACAGATCCGGTGAGCCGCCGCGCAATTGCTCCCCGGCATGCTCAGTTCGGGCAGGAGCCGGGGATGCGCCGGCAGAAGGACACGCCGGCAATCCCATGGCTGCGCTTGCTGCAGCCGTTCTGGTTGATGCGGTTTTTCGGCCAAAAGGGCCGGATCGGGGATGGGCGCACAACTTTTCCCAGATGTTGCGGTGGGATCGCACACGTTTGCTGCGCCCCTGATCTGTCCCTCTCCCAGCCCAAAACCTTTCGTGTGACTGGGGCCTTTGTTTAGAAAAGACTTTGAACCCAAGTTCTCAGCCAGTAGGAGACGTACAAATCTGTTTTACTGAATACAGGAATGTTGGGCAAAGCACTGCTAGTTTCTTGACTTTTCAAACTGTTCCAACAGATTTTTTTTACTTAATACTCGTCTTATTTTAGAAATACATATAAATATCGAATCTCACTTTAAAGATCTCTACCCATCATTTTGAGATTAATGTTCTGTCTGAGCTTCTACTTGCCGTTCCATGACAGAGATATCTCTGTGTTATGATTGACTGTTGGGACAAACTATTTATATCAGATGCTTCTTACATTCTTAAAGAGCCAGATGAAGATGCACAGAAATCTGTATAGGAATTTTTTATGCATTTCTAAAAGTTAACAGAACTCTTCACATGATATGAAAACTGCTAGCCTCAACAGGATCCCTTTACATTGTGCCTTTGGGGATAGTCAGAGTTGAGTAAAACAAGGCCATAACAGTTCATTGCCCCAGTCCAGAGGCTTTGAAGAGGGGATATTCTCTACCAGGGATATGTTTGGTACTGCTGGTTCTGATCAACATATTGAAGGGCAATGAGGAGGGACCTACAGGAACCTTTCCCTCTCTCAAGCAGATGATAGGCACTGTCTATCTTTGCGATGGTTTGTGAGGTGCAGGATCACAGAGAGAGAGAGATTTTTTCCATAAAAAGCAACCCTTGGCATATGAGGAACCTAATCCAGTATCAGTAATTATGGGCAGGAGTCTCTTTCTGCACATTCAATAAATGCACTTTTTGAGTTTGAGCAGTTATACATTTTTAACCACCCATATTACTTTTCAGATACATTCTATAGCATTGGGGATAGTTGGGGAAGAGGTGAAGATCATTGCCAGTTTGTGGACTCACACTTGGATGGAAGAACAGGGCCGCAATCATATGTCGAAGCTCTGCCTACTATTCAAGGTAAAAGAAAGTGAGAGGAAATGTATTTCGTGCTGGGGAGCTTCATCACACACGTTATAGACTGGATTCTAAGCAGCTTGTGCTATGGTTCTCAAATGAAACTGTAGTCAAGGAATACATCATGCCATTCGTTAGGTTAATTCTGTGCTGTAAATTGTTAATTCAAAGTCATAGGGTAATACAGTGCTTTGCTTTCTAAACAAGGGCGGTTAGTCCAGCTCTGCACGGAGAGTTCTAAGAAGCAGAAATATGAAACACAAGGAAAGTGTGGAATTGGCACTGCGATCAGCATTTCAGAGAATGTACCACATATGTGGAAAAAAGTGCTGACAATCTGCTAATGCTTTCAGCAGTCAAAAATCTTTCTACAGATAGAGAAAGAACTATTGTTACCCAAATCAGTGCACACGTGTCAGGGCTGTAATGGCAAAGCCATCCCCTTGCTAGCATGAAACAAATGTGTATTTTAGGCATCTAAATACTTGGGATCTTTGTGCATTTCCAAGATCATCACTTGGAAAAACAAGGGGGGAAAGACTTTTAAACAGATGAGGCATTTATTTTATAAACAGAAAAGAAACCAAATTAATTTATGCAAAATAAAAGTTACAGAATGGAAAAATGCAAAACAGCAAATAAAGCACAAAAACCTTTCCCTAGAGAACCTGCCTGCCTAAAAAGGGGAATAAACCTGTAAAAGAGAAGGAGACATATGAGACTGTTCCTCAAGAGAAGTGGGGGGGGGGGAGTTGTCTTCAGCAATGTGAAAAAGTTTCTTCGAAAGCTGAAACTGACCAGGTGGGGGAGGGTAGTGCAGGGGCAGGTCCATGGAGTGGAGAGTTGAGATCGGAGAGATGAGGGGCCAACCGTAAGTCTCATGTAACAGGATAAGTTCAAAGCCTGCTACCAAAAATTGGACCTGAGAGGTAACTTTTTATACCTTTTTGCTTGGGATGAGGACAGGAAGGGGATAATCAGAATGTGAGGATAATAAAAATGTGATTTTTCAAAAATGAGCCAGCCTAAAAAGAAATCCTTTGTCTACATGGTAGGGGAGAGTTTCCTGCTTTTGCATGGAGAGTGTCTAAAGTGTTCTTTTGAGGAGATGTGGAAGTTAGACATGGCCGGGTGCCTGTCATGACTGGGGAAGGGCAGGAATCCTCCTGTCCAGTTGTTGAGATAGGGAAGAAGTTGCAGGAATTGGCCTGTCACTTACTGTTTTGGAAATCTGGGTCATTAGTTTGGATCAAATGATCTGGGAGGTGATTCTGAGGTCCTTGGGGCAAATGGCCTTCAGTCCAATCCTTATTGGAGTGGGTTTTTGCATGATTGATATAGGAGCTGCCCTGCATTCCTTTCCTCCTCTGGCACTTTAATTCAGGCTCCTCTCAATTCCAGGCCCACACTCTGGTATACACGTGTACACCAGGGGGCTAAGTGTTTCAGGGATATCACTATCAAATATTGATCTTTTTTCAGTGTTAACCCCATGCCGGCTGATTTCTTGTCCTAATTTTGATCTCAAGCAGGGGTCATTTGGGGGGGGGACGCGGGGGGGCGCCATCCCCCCGGGGGAGGTGCGGGAGGGCGGGGCCTGGAGCTCCCTGCTGGTGCCTGCTGGAGGTCGCCGCCGGCTGTGGGGAGGACACACTTCCGGTGATGTCAGGGGGTGTGGCATATGCTAATGAGTTATGCTAATGAGCCCCCCTAGCTCTTTTTCTACGAAATGACCCCTGATCTCAAGTACTAAGGTTTCGCCCTCCTTGTTGGTCTGCCGCTTGACTGAACCAGTCATTTTGCCTCAAAGAAGTATCTTTGCAAGGAAATTACATTTTCACAGCTGCCAAATTACATCTCTTTGTCACTGTGAAAAAGTTATTTTTTTCCTAATTAGTCCTGTAGAATGCTATGTGGAATGTCCTGGGCACTGAATGCTACTGTTGAGATCACTGATGGTAAGCAATGCAGTTTCCGTGCCTGGTTTCAAACTTATTTTAAATTTAAGAATAAAAAAAAATCTATTTTGGCCCCAGTAATGTCTGTCCCTTCACTATGCTGCTGTTGCCCTAGAACACTCAGCTTTAAGGGGGGGGGGAATTAAAAGCAGCCAGCTTACCCTCATTCATTCACTCTGCCCTTTCATGTCATGAACTTTACTAAAACTGATGAATGGAAAGCTTTTTGTGTAAATGGTGGAGAATGTTTTGTTTTCAACCAGTGCTGAACTGATAGAGTGAAGGATTTCAGCAAAGATTTCAGAATGGGATACTTTGTTATTCAAACTATCTTGGTTTCTGAGCCAGGTCGTCAGTAGGGAACCCAGATGGCAGATCACTAAGGTATCAATGCCAAGATATGTTTCTAGTTGGCAGCAGTGTCCTCTTTGAATTTCCCTAGAGATATATGCTTGCCCTCTGTAGTACTATGTTTTAATTCTTGCCACACATCTGGAAGATTCAAGGGAGGCCTAAACAAGGAAGAGATATTATTTACCTGTGCATCTTCCTTATCTCTCTGGGAACAGGATTGAATTAAAGGCACTTCTTCAAACACTGACATCTAAGGGGCCAGATAGAATGCCATGTGCAGTCAAATGATGACACGATGGACTGGCAAGGTTAAGGTTAAGGCAGGATATGACATTTCAAATGATTGTCAACTGGTTTAGACTAGGGATCTACACACACACAAAAAATGGTATTTTTTGGATTCAGGTATATTGAACCCCCCCCCCATTGGTATTTCCTGATATTCCTGAATCCCAGTATTGGTATGGTAATCAGGAAACATGATTTTTTGGGGGGCTCCATTATACCCTATGGGGACCATTATAGTCAGGGCAGCCATTTTCAGATAGTTGAATCTCTAACCCCCTCCGTGATCAGCTGAAAAAAACCTGTTAAAATACCAATAAGATATTTATCGGGTATTTTTTCAGCTCAGTTTATACAGAGCACACATCCCTAGTTTAGACCTTGTTCCTTCTCATACTGCTCTACCTTCTCTGTCACAACAAGATAGTACTGTCACTGCAACTACTGATCTTGATATTTTGGTTCCTCTGCAGGTTATTATCGGCAATATCGACAAGAGCCCGTATCGTTTGGTCGCATTGGATATATGACACCATATTATTATGTGGGCTGGTATGAGTGTGGTGTACCCATTCCAGGGAAATGGTAACTGTGCTACAGACTTCTGTGATTCTTAAGCAAAGTACACCAAGCTGTGCCTTTTGAATGACTTATTGGAGGACTCTGAGCAGCTGGTCTAGAAAACGAAAAGTTGGGGGAAAGCATGGAAAGGTGGAAACAAACAGCAACCGAATAGACACTGGTGAAACTGAATACTGTACAGGCTTTTATCAACCTAAGTCTATGTTGTTGCTTAATTACTCTGCTTCAGAGCACAGATGGGGTTTAAATCTGATGTCCTGCTTTCCTTCTCTTTGCCTTTAAAGGTATGGAGACATGGCTGCAACAAGGTGCTACATGGTGTTCAGTAAACCTAATGTATTTGTCTAGCCATGAAAAATTGGCATTGTGATGTATCTCGCAAGGAATGACTTAAGCATGCTGTGCTTGCATTATGGAATGCTAACCACTTTTCACCTCTATTAATGGAATTCGCTGTTGCCTTCCATGGGGCAAAGTCTTACACTTGAGAATATTGCTGTTCAGTCATGACGTGTTACTAAACATCTATGAAAACTCAAAACTTTTCCTGTGGATTTGCACATTGTAGGACAAAACACCAGGTCACTATGTAAATTCAACTTTAAAAAATACAGTACTGTATGCTTGCAGAAGTATTTTTAGAAACTAAGGTTTTCTTGTCGATTTAGGTAAATATGTTTATGGGATGATGATTTATGTAAAAGGTGCTATTAATTAACATGTCTTTTAAATTTTTATTCTGTGAAAATATACACAATACAGTAACCATGTAAAGAACCATGCTTCTCTTCTTATGAGTACAGTTTTAATGATGCTTATATTTGTATAAAGTAGAAGAATTTTGCTTCAGGCTTTCTAGCAGGTGATGTTTCAATGTGGTTGAATTATTTGCATCATATACATGAGCCCACCCAATATGCCAGTTCAATGACATAACAATGTAGAGGTTAAATTCATATTTAATTCTCTTTAATAAAGTTCACCAACCACTGAAGCTGTGATGTAGTGAGACTGACACCCACTGACATTCATCGTACACTTACTTGGGAATCGGTTACATTGAACTTAGTGAGATTTGCAAACATGTCCCAGATAGCCTGTGCGTTTGTTTAAATTCAAGATTTGGTCATAGGAGGGTTGAAAATCTAAAATCTTGGTCCTTCTGGTATTTCCCTTTTGTATCTTGGACTAAACAAACAACAAAGTGTTGTAAAATAGTCAAAAGTATTTAAAATACTCAGAGTATCAATGGATCTTGCTCTATTGGAAAGAAGAGATTTCTTTGCATTTAAAAATTTATTTATTTATAAGGGTAAAAGGTATACAGGAAACCTATAAAATAACAAACTCCTAAGAGCTACCTTTTCTAAGCTGCTTACAGTTCACATCATGGTTACACACTACACACAGATAATGGAGAATCTGTCCTTCTTCTCGGCCCCTAGAAAGGAAGTCACCTGAAACAAACAACCAATCTGAATCACAATGTAAGTTACTTTTCCCGGGCTAATTCCCCATTGGCTCTGTGCCAGGTTTCCCTTCCAGGTCAGCCTAAACAATAGCAATGCTAGGTAAACAAGTTAGCCCTATAATGACTGGATTGTCAGACCTTGTAAACACATACATTTCCAACACAAAGTACTATGCATTTTTTCCTGTGGTCCCATGGGTTCTTCAGACATATTTGTCTTTAATGGTAACCTTTATGCCATACAGCTAACTACTTTTGTAACAGAAGGGTGCAGTTCTATGACATACAAGTTGGGTGTTCAAACTTCAGTGCAAGCTCCATGCATGAACTTAAGTAGCTGTTTATGTGAGAAAGATTATGAGATATCACTATGGTTGTGTCTGAAGAGGTAAGGTAAAACAAATATTTTCAAATAGAAGTCTTTGGATGCAGGTGCAACTGGACAGAGTGTATTAGATCTTTTATATTATTACACACACTCAAAAACGGCATGGAAAAATCGCATCTCATTTCAGCCAAGGATGCAAACCAAATGTCAAAGCGGCTCTGGTTAAACCATAAGTTACATGTGAGAAGCTGCTTCTGAGTCAAGAGCTGTCTAGCCTTTCTGGGGCTAGATGAGGAGAGACCTCAGTGGCCTCCATGCCACAGAGGTCTCCATGTTGTTTCAGGAAGACAGAGGTGGTGCTTCCATCTGTCCAACTCATACACTGTCCACAAAAAAGTTACAATTCTCTTTATGAGCCAGACACCGTATTGACATCAGGGTGTTGATGTTTTGTTTTGTTTTTATAAAAAATGAAGCATAAGGGAAAGTGGGGGCAAACCCTTCCCAGTCCCCTACCTTATCTGAATGTGCTCTGTTCCTAACAGAGTTTTTCTTCCCGCCCACTAATAGTATCAGAGCTAGGCTGGAAAATAAATTCCAAAAGCCATGGAGCCCTGCAACTGGAGAGGGGAGGGTTTAGTCATCTTCATCCATATGTTCCATTTTTTGTTTTTAAAGATACCATACCCTTTGCTTTAGACATGGTACACATAACTAATCAACTTTTCACATCTTGTTTAACCCTAAGTAATCTTGGCAGTGTAATCTTGGCACTGAATGCTAAAATGGTTTTCAAATATTTTCTTCAACGTAGTTCTAAATAATGCATGATCCTCATAAATATAATTTGTCCTCTGAAACATACAACACATTGCCCCATTTATGTTTCTGGTTATGCCTGATTGCTCACCATGGAGCAACAAGACTTGCAAGTCATAAAGCCTAACTTCTTGGAATACTTCAAACTTAAGCTACGGTAGTAACTCAGAATTTTATTTGGTGAAAGAAATTTGATAATTGAAGTTTGTATGTGGAATTGGAGAATTCACCCCAATCACTGCATTGATTTAGTTTGCACTAAGAACAGTCCATAAATGAAATGTATAATATCTGTCCTGTTGGTATAGTATAAATGGCACCCCCCCCCCATTTTCTTCTGTGTCTAAAATGAAATGACATTCTGTCCCAAATGAATAGTGTGTTACCTTGTAAGGAAGAATGCAGTTGTCTCTTCCAACTTTATTTCCTTTTAATGTCAACAACAAACAAAAAAGTGGGAGGTCCTTATTTATTTAATCTAATTGACAGTTTCAAGAAGTCACTCCCCTCAAATAAATAGGTTTAATAATCCTTTGAGTCATCTGACTAAGCCACATGATAATTCTGAATTTTCATTTTTCTGTGAGACACAGGAGCATAGTGAAAGAAGCAAGTTTTTTATGTTATGCAAAATGGCCATGTCTCTGGGGATTTGTATGACATACAATGTATGTTTAAAAAAATTATACTAGTAATTAGGAAATGGAAGTGTATGTGCTGGTTACATTATATAGTGTCTATTCCCCTAATTATTACACCATTACACATTATGTTTACTGTTATTTCTTATTTAAAACAGTAAGACAAATTATTACTTTTCCTATATTACAACAGAATGGTTAAGGTGTGTGTGTGTGTGTGGGATTATATTTTAGGCCACTGTGCAATCCTAAAAGCACTTTCCCGGGAGTAATCCCCATTGAATAGTTGTTGTTGTTGTTCAGTCACACAGTCGAGTCTGACTCTTCACAACCCCGTGGACCAGATCCCGCCAGGCCCTCCGGTCTTCCGCCGTCCTATGAAGTTTGCTCATTTTCATGTTCGTTGCATCTATGACACTGTCTCACCATCTCATCCTTTGCCGTCCCCGTCTTCTTGGACCTTCAATCTTTCCCAGCATCAGGGTCTTCTCCAGTGAGTGCTCCCTTCTCATTTGGTGGCCAAAGTATTTGAGCTTCAGTTTCATTATCTGGCCTTCCAGGGAACAGTCAGGGTTGATTTCTTTTAGGATTGACTGATTTGATCTTCTTGCAGTCCGAGGGACTCTCAAGAGTCTTCTCCAGCACCGTAGTTCAAAAGAAAAAATAGACCTCAGTGGAATTCAGAGTAGACCTGTTTAGGATTGCTTTCTTAGTGAGTTAATGGCTGTACACCAGTGCTATTAAACACTACAATACATTAACTTTCACTGTCTACCCATATGGTTTCCATTCTTCTCTCTGTCAACATATTTCCCCCCTTTTAACAGCCGCTCTTGACTTTCTAACTCTGGGAGAAGGGGGCACACAAAACAGCACATAGGTCAACATAGTGCACCCAGCTATGCCTCAACCTTAAGTGTACTACTCTTTTAGTTCCCTTCAGGCTGTTGTGTATAACCATTCATCCCCCTCTTAAGCTGAGGTGGCTGATTTAACAACCTCCACATGTACACATATAGCCACATAGAGGCTGCCAGAATACACTTAGCCCTGGCAAGGCTCCATGTGGCAGATGTGCTGTGTACTGCTCCATATTCTTGCAGCATCTGCATGCCAGCCTTGTAGTGGGTGTGTATATTGTTGGTATACAGATATTGCAAAGCTATTGGTTGCCACATGGCTGAAGAGACCTTTAAGACTTGTATCTCACAAATGCTCAGCCCCTTCAAGGTGCCATGATAGCTGGCAGCATTAAAAAAATTGAAACTCACAAAAAAACCAAAACTAGAGTATGGCATACCAGAGCAACAAGTTAAAACAGACACTATGCCAGCAATCAATACATTCTCGTGAATAGGAAAGTTTTAGTTGATTTCTAAAAATGTACAGGAGTTATGCCCTCCACATGGAGCACCAACATGGCTAAGTGCTTTTTGACAGGTTCCACCTGGGACCTGTAAGGCTAAAATCATTTTGAAATCTAAGAGCTTACAGTGTTTTTGTGTTACTGACAGAGACGGCTGCTCTTTCAAGATATGTTAAGCTGACTCCAGAGAACCATCCTATTTAAGAAACAATGCAAGCTCTTTCCACTGAATAATATTTTCCTATCATACACAGAACATGATTCATAGCCTCTGCTACTCTCCAAATGTGGCAGATAGTACAGTAGGAGCCTTGGATAACAGTGTGGCCATGATGGAAATATCATTTAACTGTAACGAAAGCAACAACGAGCAAGCTGCCTCCACTGATTCCACCTAATTTTCATCTATTTTTCCTTCTTCAGCTGTGTCCTGACAACGTGTTCAAGTATTTTCTAGCCTGGGAACATACTATTCACTTGATCCCTTTCTCCATCGATGCTGTAGATTATGACTGGCTAAATATATGCTAGAGCAGGCTATCTACCAATGACTGCATCTGGGAGTCCTTTGCATGACTTCTCATCATGCCAATATTTTCCATAAATAACTTGCTGATTTTCAACATGTCCTCAGACAGCTAGGTGGCTGAGGAAGGTTGTGGCCAACTTGTTTGTGGCTAATGCCAATTGTTGTTCCTCTCTTAATCCAGATGTCCTTTTGATCCTGTTCTCAAGACCCTCTGGGATTACAGTGAACTGTGCCTCTCCCTTCCCTTCCCAAGGAACACGTGTCACTTGACTGCAAACCACTGCAGCTTTTGACAGCAGAACTGCCATTTAGGCTGATTACCTTGTTTTCATTGTTTAAAATTGTTTCTGGACAAGGTTCCTGGAATCAGATGGCCATGAATGATAGTTCCCCTTAATTCGTATGTGAAATGATCTAGCTCTACACTTGATTTAGCTTGAGCCAAGATAATTACTGATTAGGCACTGAATAATAAGACCATGGCAAA